TTATAATTGAATTCAATTTTGAGATATATTTTTTGCTATCTTTTAAATAATACAATTTTAAAACAGACGTCTCACTCACACACAGCATGCGATCGAAATAATTTAAAAGAGGTTTCCGTAATATTTATTGAACGGAAAATCCTCACAACAAAAGAAAATGCGAATAAATTGAGTGTAGATTCCTATAGAAAAAAATCAGCTCAAAACTTTCATCCAAATGCATAGATTAGAGTACACCCTATAATACCATACATTTAATATCAGATAACTTATAGTACTCCACAGTATATACAGTATATATATATTTTAAAAAGCAAGTCATTTAAGAAATTCATTTAATAAAATAAAACTCGTTTTGTTTAAAAAAGGAGACCAAATATAATGTGAAAGAGTTTCTAAAATATTAGAAAATTGATTAACAGAAAAATCGATATATAGTGTAGTGTTGTATACCGTATAATAACGTTTAGATATTCAGTACAGAATCGTATAGTATTGTGCCGTATAGTGAACTAACATTAATTCAATTCAGTGTGAAAAACGTGTGCTAAACAGTGGTGTATGGGTTTGGATTGTAATAGTGATTACACAAAACGCATATCACCTTTAAATCATAAGCAAAACGTCTGAAAATGAAGTTTAGTTTTAGTTAAAATAAATCTTTGATTTTTGAAATAATCAAAAGTGTTTTAAATGTATTTGTTTTATGTGTTTAGTATCGATCGCATGCTGTGTGTGAGTGAGACGTCTGTTTTAAAATTGTATTATTTAAAAGATAGCAAAAAATATATCTCAAAATTGAATTCAATTATAAAGAATATGTGTTTTGTTTATCACAAAACATTTCTTCAATGAGCTTATTATGAGACGAAAAAACACCGAAAATATAAGACCCAACACAACACATACCAGCTATTGAGTGCTTTTTGAATAATTGAATGAAACCATTAAAATAGCTTTTTATGTATTTTATAGCCATTTCTTATCCATAAAAAATGGTTTCAATGTTTAGTCTTCACTTCAATTCGAGTATTCTTTACACAAAAACTTTTTGATCCAAAGAATATTTTCTCTTTTCTTTTTAACAATATATTTGGTTTCATCAATGCTTTAGTTGTTTGTCTTTCAAAACGTTTCAATGTCTGACACTTTTTAAAGGAATTTCACAAAAGAATTCATTCAATCTATTCCTTAGACATTGAGTTAATTCAATATATATTTAATGAGATTGTCATCGATTGCCTAAAATTTTTAACTTTAACTGATAGCACTTTTTGTTATTTAAACCCACTTTTATTGCCGCAAATTTAAATTTTCTATAATACTGTATAATACAATATAAATATTTAATTTACCATTTTACCAATAGATTTGTTTGATGTTTGATTTGTTTGATTTAGAGTATCACATATAAAATGACACGATATTTGCATTTAAAATATTTGATTAATATTTGATAACTAATATGCAATATTTGATACGATAGGTTACCTCTTCCGTGGTTTATCTATACGTTAGTGTTCGGAACCGTTACCGTCAACTCCAAGGGAATGATATGTTCAGTGATTCTACTATTTTTGATGTTAATGTTTGTGATTCTGACGATCGCTTTATTCAAGTGGAGTCTCAATGTAGGGATGGCTATCGCGATGTTTATTTTGTATTTTATATTTATAGCCATTTCATTAATGCTGGAAAAAGGGATTATTAAATGCTCTTCCATTGTCGGTATACTTGAATAGAAATGTTTTAATAATTATTGATTTCAATCAATAATATTCAGACCATTGGCTTTAATGCTATTTCAACACAACAACAAAAAATACTACAATTATTATATATAAAGCAATAACTTTTATTAGAGAATTTAATTTACAATAATTAAATGGTTTTAAATAATTTAATAAATCTATGCACGAAATTATTTAATTAAATAAAAATAATAATTTTGAAAGTGTTATAATTTATAAGTTTAAAATTATATAAACAATATTTATATATATAAATAATATAATATATATAATATATACAACCATTTAGTCATTTTGAAACCCGACTTAACGTATCGATTATTACAAGTATTTGATGTTAGATAATAATAAAAACAAAAATACTCTACAATTCTGTACACAAATCTAACATTTCCTATAAAACATTTGCGCATTTTGTGGTAAATTTAATCTCAAAAGTTAATATAGAAGTAAAATACAAATTCAATCAAATATCTCAAGACAATGTCAGTTATTAACAATAATTACTTGTAATATTCAGTACTGTATTGAAGGGTTCGATCATTTATTGTAAATCATAAAAATCTAATTAAAAAACTAATAAAATTGATTTCAATTTCTTCTAACGCCTACAATGTCTTCGATTCTTGTTTTGTTAAAAATCTTAATAATAATAATTCATTTGTCGTCAACACATGTATTGCTTATAATATTGTATAACAAACTATTAATGAATGATTGTTTGCATTGTCTTTGCATACGTCCGTCCCTTCCATTCGTTTATCTGATGAGCAATTTTGTTACAAATCTTCATATTTAACACAACACTTCATTCATATCTCAATTAACATCTATTCTGTATATTTCAATAAATAATCGATGACTTCAATGGATTATTATTAATATTATTATTTTATTGTTTAAATATTATTTACAATACATCACAATATTATATACAATCACTTGTCGATCCGACATACGGTAACCATAGGTCGACATCCATTCCTCACTACTCTATAAATTATGAAGAATTTTAACAAAAAAATGTTATTAAATGATGAGAAGTCGTTGCACTTATACCACAAACAGATTCTTTAAAATACAACAAAATAAATGGCATTTGAGCTGAAACTCAATCGAGTCCTTATAGTTGTGAGCAATTGTTTGCGATTTATATATATTTCTAATTATTATTCATATCTTTAAAATTATCATTAGTTCTTCATTTTGACGCAATTTCTTTGGATGTATTTCACCGAAAGTTGTGTCCAATGGCTAACAGTGTGGTCCATACAAGACATGAATTTATTAATAAGAGATGAGAATATATGGAATGCCTTGACTTGTGTGCACTGTTTGCGCTAAAATCCCTTTAATGTAAAGATATATACTATTATAGTCTTGTATTTAATGTAAAGCAAACAAATAATTTACAACAAAAACTCTATTAATTCTGTGAACAATGATCAGAGGGATCATCAAAACACTTCACAAACAACAAACTTCTTAATTCTTAATAGTCTCGCAAATAGAGTTAAAATATTTAATTTAATGGAAAAACATATATTGAATAATTACATCTATTGGTGTAATTCAAACACAACATCACATTTTACTATTTGAAGAGATTATAGAAGTGGTCGTCTCTTTCTCTCTTAATTTCGTTACTAAACATTAATAATAAGATATAGTCTTCTCTTTTGCTATTATTCTGTTTTCGATTATCATTAAAGTCTAGTGTATATTGAGAATGATATTGTGAGAGAGTGGGTGAGTGGGTGAGAGAGAGAGAGAGAGAGAGAGAATTAATGGCTATGGATGTGTTAAGCATAATAGTAATAATTATTAATCTTTCAAAAATTGGTCATTAATTCTTTGAATTGAAATAATATGTGTGTATTATTTGAGTTAATATATAATTTAAGCGAATAAATGATACTTTAAAGAGACACCAGATTTAATGAATGAATGTAAAGTGCATGACATGAATGAATGACATACCGGGCACTTCTCTTGCCGTGTTGTATAGAGGCGGCCGGATTGCCGGTGCTGTGGACGTGGACAGCGATGTGGGCCGGTTCGGCATTGGATGGCGAACAGCTATAATTGCCCGAATCGTTAGGCATTGTCTTATTTATAATTAATTTGGATGTGGTTTGAGCCGACTTTTCTGTTTGTACTTTAATACCACGGGGAGAGTCGTAGTTAATTACCTTAATTAATGTATACAATCAGTGATTATATTTAG